AAAAAAAAAAAAAAAACGAAAATCAATGTTACTCAATTATCACGTTCCATCGAAACGTTTCCGATTATCAACTAAAATTACATCAGAAAACAATTGATTAATAACGTACGAGCTTTTTCGGAGTTCGACTGATTAAAGAGATAGGCCAGGACAAAGTTTACGAGTCCTTTCCACAAGTATTTATCAAATGAATCCTCGCAATCTTTCGAAGTATATAAATAATCGAATAGTCGACTATTTACGAAACATACGAATTTCTATTTTTTAATTCATAGAAATTTTTTAGTTTAAACGCGTTTCTGTCCTTTGCAGTGATGATAATCAGCGATCGACGTGAACTTTCAAAACTAGCGAAGAACTCCCTCCATTTTGTAACATTTTGACTTCGAAAAATAATATAAAGCCGAAAGTAATTATTTATGAGAAAAATTCGCAAAGTTCGACTAGTTTTGTAGACAGCTCAGAATCTACACTCTATCGCCTGGACTCCATATTCACGTGAGTAGAATTCATAGTGCCCACATAATCAATATTCATCTAAAAATAAAAGCAGAGAATTTATTTTCACGAGTTTCAAGATAAATTTAGAAAGAAAGTATTCTTCTTGATGCATCGAGTTCTGTGATTTATGCGTTGCTCAACACGTGCGTATTCGATCTTCTCTGTATTTTACGGGGGAAACCGGCGTTTCCCTTTCATTTCAAAAAAGATACTTCTGCTTCCGGGTGAAAGGAAGCAACACGGTTCTCGAGCAGCTCTTTTTCTTTCAGCCAAGGGGCTGAAGTTTTTTCATTACGGACACAAGTGGCATCGAGTTCTTAAACTATGTCGTTGCTCATTAATTGCTCCGTGTCTCATACTGCTTTAATTAAAGTCACCGTTCGAGAGGAACAAGCTGTGAGCGTTAAAATAACTCTTCGAGCAAGCACGATCGTGACACAGCTTTATTAAGCGTAGGTATTCTCTCCATGAAACATTTGAATTCACCGTATCATCCCAATAAATCTGACGAATACGTGAATCGAATTAATCACGAATGCCAGATCGAAAGCAGAGATTTATAGAATAAATAATCAAGAAAGCAAACGTTCAATTTATTCCTCACTTTTTTGCTTGTTGATTATACAAAGAGATTTATTCTATAAAATAAAAAATAGAAGATTATTTCACCTCCTATTTAGGAAGTATCGCGAGTCGTATATTTTGGAAATTTTGTATATTTTTCGTGTCTTTGAGTCTTTGAAGTCTCTCTCATAAATGCCAAGTTCCTTAAAGATTTACAATCTAATTATAACGATCAAGAAACCTGCAGATATTGAAACGACAATCGCCCCCTGGCACAGCGCAATATACAAGCTATTCCATATTCAATCTCACATATCTCAATGCTAAGATACTATCACACATATCGTATCATATCATATCATAGCTATCGCACGGTATACCAGTCACGACGTAAATTTCTCTCTCTCTCTCTCTCTTGAATTACACTCGACCGTGTACATCGTGAGAAGCGAAATACAACGAGAGAGAAGTTGAAAGGCAACGTATGTAAGATTCGCCTTCGCGAAATTCTATCATCCTGCACGATGCATGGAAATCTTTGAGACACGTGCACCCGACTGCTTGTCATTTTCGCGGGAATTCGTGAATTGTTCGCAACGACGTAGATAATAAACGAGCTCTGTCTCACACGGCCAATCTGAAACGGTCGAACTTCAATGGGAATCTTAATTAAACGCGGTAAATTTCGCGTGTCTGCGGATCATCGTCACGTACGTCGACGAATATTTCCGGAAATCCACTGCAAAGAGACGAGGCTGGTTTGTCAAGCGAGTTCGAGACAGCGAGGTACACTCGCGTTCGTCTCGCGTCTGATTGACGTAATTGCGTACGGTTCTGCGATCGTCTGTTGATAACAGTCGTATTTAATGATGCGTTTAATTTATGGCGTTGATTGTTTCATACCATATAATAAATTATAAAGGTATTCTTCTTTTTTTTATCTTTGCAAAAATGTGATTGAAAATTAATGTTTAGAAGAAAACTTACAGGAGGTTTTTTTTTTGCAAATGAATTTAAAAATTTTCTATGCTAACCATTTAGTTAAAATAAGTTTAGCAAGTGTTCAAAAGTGTAATTAAGGATTTTGTACGATCAAAAATCTTTAGTCACATGCTCTGTTGACCTAAAATGAATCAAAATTTATCTTAACATTCTCAATTCAACTCAACACTTCGATCTATTATACAAACACCGAATAATATCAAAGATGCGATACAATTTAATTATTTATTTATTTATTTATTTACTTGTTCGTTCTATTATTATATTTATTATTAAGTTTACGTTTGAAAGCTTTTTTTTCTATTCTTTCTAGTATTCACTCATTGAAAAATTTTATCAATCAGCTCGTCAAATAAATTAATATGATCACGTCAGCTGAGATCGTATACTCTCTTCGGACCAAACAAAATCAATATAACACCACGAAAATCAATTTGCATAATAAAGTACATCCTATTTATTAAGAATTTCAATATAAAATGAACCTTTACACATAATCAAAAGACTCTGAAATATTCTCAATTAAATTCAAATAACCATCGAGTCGTTCATTTTCAATGAAAAGCAATCGAGTAATTTCTCTCGCTGCAAAGCATTGTCCTATGCAAAAATCTTCGTTGTTTCATCGCATTATCCATTGTAACACGGTTTCTTTACACACGTTACCACTCCTCGTGCTTCATCAATTCACTTGATCCGCGTGTGTATCAGTGTATTTCTACCTCAAACGTAGAATATTGACAAACGAGCGCCTGTGTACGTACCACAGCCTTTAAAATCGCGCCATCCAACGCAACAATGCGCATCGACCGAGTGGAGAAACGAGGTTCCGTTCGCAAATTGTTTCGTGTTCCGTCTGTCAACGCGAGAATCGCGCGCTCGTGTGCGTGTGCGTGTGTGTGTGTTCCCGCGACAGGCACCTACGGGAACTCGATTTCAACTGCGTGGTGATTAACTGCTTAAGCTTTCAGCGCTTCCGGCCAGAGGCAAGGAATTTCGTGTTCCCTCTTTTCTTTGCGTGCAGCGTGTTCGCAATGGGAATAGATGGTCCAGTGCATGCGATTTATCTGTCTCCCCCTCAATGAAATGATTCGTCGATCCTGATTAAATCGTTTCGTCTCCTTTTTTTTTTCTTTCTTTTTCAAAATTACTGCAGAGTACAATAAAACGTAAAATTCGGTTTACATGAAGTCGTTAGAGGAAATCACATGAGCCACGAGAGAGAGAGAGAAATTTTGTTTCAAAAAAAAAAAAAAAAAAAAAAAATCCCTTCGTGTATTTCATATACACATTTAACTCGATTTTACGATTTGCAGTAGCTACGTCGGGAAAATTCAGTTTGTTATTAAATTTCAATAAATATTTCTTCGAAAACGCGCTTCTGCGCGTGATGGAAATTCCAATGTTCCGAGTACGTTACCACAACCAGGAAACTGGGAATATCGGTCAGCCGATTCCGGTGAGTCATCCGCACAATCGGCCCGAATTGGGGATATGTGTTTTCGAGATATCGACGCCAGTATCGTCTAACGTCGTACGGTTCGAGATATTGACTCGTATCGTCCGTGTACCCATTTTACAATCCACGGCTAACAAAGACAGGACTTGATTCGATTGCTCGGTCAACTTTCCGCTCCGCGATAATATTTGCGCGGGTTTTTCGCCGAATGTGAGGAATTCACGACTACCGCGCTACCGCGTAAAGGCATTAACGTTCGCACGCAAAGTCAACAAAGCTTTCAACCACTGAGTCCTCCCCAACCCACTGCTCGACGTTTCTGACAGAGCTCATCAACGAAACACTTTATAAATATCCTACCGTTAAATATCAGAGAAATTAAAAAATATCCCGGAACGCGGGAACACGCGAGGCGTAATTGCTAGGCTGCGCGAGTCAGCGTGAAACCTCGGGTATCACATGCTGCCGCAACTGGATAGCCTTAATTAAAGCCGTGTCACGTAAAAATCTCAACGAACCACGAATTTTTGCACAACTCGAGAGAGGGAAGGGGAGAAAGAGAGACAATATAGAGAGTGGTTGACCGAGGCAGAAACGCACGGTGTTCTAATTAAGATCTCCGTCAAAAATTTCGCAGCCTATTCAGCTGAGGTTCATTGCTCACGAGAGTTGCTCCACTCTCCCGGTTGAAC